GTATGCCCTCCAACATGGCGGCCAATACAAATGATACTACTTTGTTGAAAAATCAAAGTGCCATAAAATATCTCCCTTAAATGCGTTTCCTCTCAAATCTCGGGTGTAAGATAATTTTTATGTGCTCTGTCAATTTTGGCATCAGCAAGATTCCAACTCATTGTTTAAAGGAAGCATTGGTCACGCGACCTCTTAGTGCACGTGGCCTATTGGACAAACTAGGTATTTCCAGCATGACTGACTTATGTCTCAAAACCTTTGACTTCACATCACTTTACACAAACAGTTCATACTGTGACACCACTCAAGCCATCATCACACACTGCAACCTGCTTAATTTGCCGAACTTTATAGGGACTGTTTGCTTAACCTCAATAATATTATTAACCAGCATAACTTTTTTAGGGCTGGTAATAGCACCTACCAGCAAATTAAAGGGGTTGCTGTGGGCAGTTACCATTGCCGGCAAATTGCAGACCTTGTGCTCCTACTAAGCAAATTTTCGTTTTTTTTAACAATATTAACTGTGCCACTAAAAGCATTTTTATTTTCTGCCATTACATAGATGATGGATTTATGCTAACCAGCAAGCTAATTTACCTAATATAATCTCTAACCTTTGAAGCTCTTACCTGCCACAAATACCCATCACTTTCACATCAAAGCACCATACCACTCATTACGTAGATGTCACTCAACCACTTCTCCATCAAATCCCATAGAGTGCACCACCAGATCTACCAGAAACCACACCATAAAAACATGTACCCCCATTTTTCATCTAACCACCCGCATCACATTTTTGCTAGCAACATTAAAACTGAAACTATACAATGCAGTAGGCTATCAGCCACAACAGACATCTAGAACTTCATTCACCACCTTTTCATACTTTAACTTACTACCTTGGACTATCCTATACAACTGATCACTGAACGTTCATTTCCATGGATCACATGGACTGCTCACCACGACACCTCAAAAACAAACACACTAATGACGTTACCAGACCCACTGTTTACCACAACACTCTATACAATAAAGAAAAACGGACAGACAAAATGGTCAACAACATTTTACTCAAATACCCCAACCCACACATACCGAAACTCACAAAGGCATACTGTAACTCTACTAAACTCCACACACTTCTTCTTACTATTAAAATGTTACAGCATAAACTAGTCCTGTTTAATAATTCTACCACTTAACTGTCAATATGCTTACAATCTAAATATACATTTACCAGCACCCATTTCTATTTGTGCCAAATCTCACCCTTGTACCCAGCGTCTTTGTTACCCTTGACCACCGGTCAGGAAAAAGCGACCCCGGAAAGATCCAATTGGAAGTCTGAAAATACTGGACTTCCAGTTGAATTACACGTGTGGCCTCAAAACCAAACATGGCGTCCTCATAAATCGAAGAGGCGGTCAACTACTCTTTGAAAGCAGTTGGTAAACAAAATATCACGTTAAAAGAAAAACAACTTTCCATTCTCAAGCTCACTGTATTTCATAAAAAAAGATGTAGTGGCTGTTCTGCCACCATTTGCTGACTTCATAGAACCTGACGAATCAACTGAACATGGCAAATCAATAGTCATTGTAATTTCGCCTCTTAATGTGCTGATCAAAGACCAGGTGGCAAATTAACATAACAATAATAACATTTATTATTTGTATTGCGCCTTTTCTATAAAATATTCAAAAGCGCATCACAGTAATTAATAACTAAAATTTTACAAATCTTTCTATCAAAAGCATAAAAAATATTTACATTAAATGAGAAAAAAATAATTACCAATAGACATATAGATATACTAAGATAACTGAAATGATTCCTTAAATAAAAATGTCTTAATTAAAGTCTTAAAAGTTCGTTGCTTTGCGCACGGACCTTGGCAGCTTATTCCACTTGGTCTTTCCAACAAACGACCATTGTCGTTGCGCCTCAAATGGTAGGACGAAGGCTGTTGAATACTAATTAAATCTGAAAGGAACTTAGGTGATAGGCCATGCAAAATTTTAAAAGTTATCAAGAGTATCTTATAATGTATCCTGGAGCGCACTGGTAACCAATGTAATTCTGCACGAAGAGGTGTTATATGACAGAACTTGTGCGCACGATATATGTCTTGCACTCGCATTCATAACACGTAATTTCATAGTCTGATATTCTGGGATTCCATACAGAGGGCTATTACAATAATCCAATCTACTACTAATAAAAAGATGAACTAATTTCTCAGTTGATTCTCTGGATAAATATTTCCTAATATGACGTATATTGTATAAATAATAGAAAGTGCTGCTACAAGTCTTTGTAATGAAAGTTCCCATATCTAGATGCGTATTGAACCATGTACCTAAATTGCGCGCACAGGCTACAGGAGAGACTTCAGTCTGCCCAATCTTGATGCTTTGGATTGAAACTTTTGAGAGCTGCTGACGAGTACCTATAATCAGGAATTCAGTCTTGTCATCATTGAGCATCAGCTGATCCTCCCTCATCCATGCTTGGACATCGCAGCGCACTTCTGCATGGCTGATACAGCTTCGACTTCCCTGGAAGAGTCAGAGGGCTTAAATGAAAAACACAACTGAGTATCGTCAGCACAAGTATGAACGGAGGGCAGACGGTGTTTTAGAATCTGGAACAGCTTACTCACGTAGATGGTAAATAAAAGCGGGCCCAGGCACGACCCTTGAGGAACTCCACACTTTAAATCAAACGGCTTTGAGAGAGTTCCGTTGATAGACACTTGCTGCGATCTGGCCTTAAGGTAACTCTCAAACCATGAAAGTACTTTCCCCCTCAATCGTTCCAGAAGGATCTCATGTTCGACGGTATTGAATGCAGAGCTTAAGTCGAGAAGCACCAGCAGCGTAACTTGACCTTTATCCATCGCCATTACGAGATCGTTCTTCACCTTGAGTAGTGAGGTCTCAGTGCTATGATGTTGGCAGTAAGCACTTTGCAATTCTGGAAACAAGCCATTGACTAGCATGTGCTCTTGTAATTGTACTGCAACCGCTTTCTCTGTGAGTTTGGACGTGAACTGTAAATTACTCACAGGCCGAAAGTTCTTGTTTATCAATTGAAGACCAGATTTTTTGAGCAGAGGATGTACTACTGCCCTTTTCCAGTCATCTGCAAAGCAGCCATTCTCTAGTGATATGTTCACCATCCTACTAATCACTGGAAGTAACTCCTCTATGCAAACCAACAAGATGGAAGAGGGTCCAGAGTACAAGTCTTCATAGAAGCCACAGCCATCTTCCTTACAGCCTCTTCGGAGAGAGGCTTAAACTCGGATAGCGTGACAAGGTCATCACTACTCGATGAACCGTGAGGCGCCCGCTCAGTAACCGCAGGAGAGACCGTGTCACCAGCTAGCTTTGATCTAATAGCCACTATTTTATGGATGAAGTATTCACCAATCTCATTTGCAAAAACAGAGGTGTCAGTGTGAGGTGGGAGAGACTTGTTCGCTTTCAGATTTAGTACGCTCTTGCTAGCCCGGAACAGCTTTGATTGGTCCGAACCGAGAGAAACAGGGCTCAGAGCATGCATCCTGAAAGCCGATTGCGTGGCTTCGGATTACCAAGATATAGAGGAAGTTTCTATTAGTTCGTCCGAGGAACTAGAAAACCTTACCAACTTTCAAGTTCTTTATGCCCACCTGGAAGCCTTGGTGGAAAGCAGACAAGTTCTTAAATTGCTGAAAAAAGGAGAATTTCAAAATCGAATTCAAGCAATTGTTGTGGACAAGGTATGTACATGTATTAAATGTAATACACTTATTAAGTGTTTTATGTTGTAATCGAATTATTGTCTTGTTATTGGAATATACATTGCCTGCCCCAAGATATGGCAAAATGCTGCCTATTCCTACCGGACTACACTGTTCAAGGTCTTTTTTGTGATAATGATACAAAATCGAAGGGATAAGTACTGATACATTTTGTAAAGTCTGGAATAGTTTAAACTACAGTTTCATGAAGATGAAGTCAGGAGGATTAATACCTAGAAGAACATTTACCTGAAACTCTATCACAGCAATGCCTACAACCTCACTGTCGTTTTCTAATCAATAATAAAAAGTTATTTCTTGCCTTGCAAACAAGAATCTTTACAAAATTTCAGGCTGAATTGGTTTTTCTGATGGGTGTTGCCAGTCCACTCTGTCTGTAAATTTTCACTTTTGTTACAAGACCCAAGCTTAACTCAGATAAACTAATTATACAAGGAAAAGAAAAAAGCAGTACACAGTTACTATGTTATAAAATACATTTTTTCAAATCTATTATGAAGCCAAAATCCCATCCCCACTGTTACCTGGAATTTCAATGGGCTGTTTGATACTGGTGTCAGGGCGTTGGGTAGAGCTGTAATTGCACTGAGGAGCACTTGTAAGAGGATGCTTAAGGGCAGAGCGAGGCGCATAGGCGTGCTGATTCGCCCCAAAACCTAGAGTAATAAAAATGAATAAATGAAAAGAGATGACATGAGATGACATGAAATGAAATGAAAAAAACCCTGTAGATGGCCGGCCTATGAGCATACCTGCCAACTCTCCCGGTTTGCCCGGGAGTCTCCAAGTTTTTCATCAAATCTCCCGGTCTCCCGGTTAGAGCACCAGATCTTCCAGGAAAAACCTACCGTGCCTTTTTCCAATTTGTTTTCATCAATTTCGCTATTTTCAAGATGTCAGAAAGGAAAATCAAAAAAAAGTAAAGTTAGTGCTCTTATTTGAGCTGTTCTCAATCGGAAAACATAAAAACAGAGCAATCAAATTGATATATATTTAACAAGTATCGCAATTGGTCAGAAATCAACCAATCAAGTTGCACAATACATGGTCGAAAGTTGGCACGGTTTTTGCACGCTGTTATCAGTCGAAGCGAAGAATCAAGAGGGCCACGGATTTCCATTCTCTACAAAGAAATTTTTTAGGCGCCCTTCCCTTGGGTTTTGAGGGCGTGAAGACACTGGCTATGCAGAAACTGACAAATAAGGAGATTACTCCTCTTGTTGACGTCCCAGTTCAGCGAACCGGAAAAACAGGAGGTAGGCTACTTCACTTTTGTGGGTGTTTATTGATATTCAAGTGCTTTGAAAGAGCTGCAAGTCACTAGTAGACCTTATCACGGTTTAAGCCATCTTTATGGGTTACCAAACACTTCACTTCTGAAAAATTCATGAACTGGAAACTTTATGGACTTTACAGAAACAAATTGGGGAATTTAGCTGTGCTAGAAAGCTTGCGGTCGTGTTTTGAAATTTCCATACAGATTGTCTCTATAAGTTTTTTCCGCGAACCAGCCGACATTAGAGAATTGCTAAAAAAAGTTCGCGGGAAAATAATTAGAGGAATGTATGAAATGTTCCATTCCAAAGACTACAGGAGGCTTTCTAGGACAGCTACATCCCTTAAAATTGGTCCTTAAAATCCTTTTCCTAGTGCCTAAAGTTTCCAATTCATCAATTCTTCAGAAGCGAAATTTTATGAATATTATTTAAAATCAGATTTCCATATAAACACTGTTATTTCAGACGTGTTTGCCTTTCCATTAAGATGGCTTCCAAAACCATGATAAGATCTATGCAGACTGCAAACTCACTCAAACTCATTATTACTCAAACCCGGCTTTGATAGACCACCTAAACTAGACTCAGTACTTCAGTTTTTCTTGTTGTTTATGCGGAAGGAGGCTGTGAGGAAATGCGATGCCAACTGGCAACTAAAGATTTTTGTATGATGTTTGTCGAAAAGACAATATAATTTAACAGCCTTTACCAATCAAAGCGACACAAACTGCAGAGATATAAATTTGATTAAAAGCCGCTTTCAAATCAATAGTATGCATGGCCAGCAAAAAAACCTTAATAACATAGCCTGTCTACATGCATATGCGAAGCATGCTTAAAAGCCTCGGGTGGCTCCACATTTGCATCATCTAAAAGGGTGCGTGTTCTTTATAGTCTAACCACCCCCTGAACTCACCACCTTAACGACAGACGTTCCGATCAGAAATCAAACTCAGTCTTAAACTTGGGTACATGATAGCTAATAAATTAAAGTTTACCAGCTCGTTGGGAGAGAAAACAGTGTTTTGGCAGTAGGTGATATGTGATTTAAGCTTCTGTTTAACTTAATGCTAGGAAAGCGATTTATAACATATCAAAACGGGTTTAAATGCCCTGCTTTAACCAAACAGAAACGGTTTTATTGCGGTAACAAATCGAAAACTACAGTCTATGGCCCATACTGATAGGCAACTTAGCTATTTTTTGTTGGTCTGCAGGTTTTAAAGATGTAAGGGCAGAAAAGCTCCTCGCGAGTGGTAGCCCAAAATGTGTAGAATCAAAGCAAACTTATGCCGATGGAAATTGTCTATATATGGCCATGTCAAGGATCATATGTGGTGATGAGGACAGACACGTAGAACAGCGCATGAGAACATTTATAGAACTTTGCAAGAACAAGGACAAGTATTTAAACGACTGCTATCTGAAAGAGTCAACTAGTTTAGATGACTATGTGGAGAACTTATTAGGGAGTAGCTTTGACTTATCGTCCAAAACAAAGAGAAAACAGAATACTGAACATCAACGAGAGGGCTTTGAGGCAGGAATTGTCGATACCATCAAGCCTGGCACATATTCAACCATGTGGCATTTTTTTGCACTCAGCAACATCCTGGGTTTTCCTATTCAAACCGTTTACCCGGAAGTTAAAGGCTCCCTTGTCAATCGAAATTATGTCAATGTCCTTATCACACCTTCGCAGATGCAGCATCCGAAGGTAGCATATATAATGAGGACACACACAAGCAATGTCGACTTTCATGGTTGGACACCAAACCATTTTGTTTTATTGATACCAGTACCACCATTAGCAGTGGGTGCAGCTAAAGCGAAACCATCAGCTCCTCCCTTAAGGTAGCTGAACACAGCTTTGCGGGTGGTCAGCGGTAACTTTCGTGACAGCGCGTATTTTAAATTAGACAGACCAACATGGCAGCGAAAAAGCAATGGAACATAGAAGACGATTTCTTAAAATCTACTCATTAGAATTTTGTGATATTTGGCAGAATTTTTCCTTTCATCATATTTTACGTAATGAGAACTTTAAAATGGAAGTTGAACAGACAAATTTTGTGACACACTTAATAAATACAGTACAATTAAATTATTGATTATCTAAAAACCCATGTGTTAAAATTTGGTCAAATCAGTTTCAAATGGTAATGATTAATTATAGTAAGCTGTGTGCAAGTTTATAGGAAAATCTAATGAGCGAATTTTATGTAAACTGAGAAAAGGTTGTATTCAATCGTTCATGTTGCCATGGAAACTACGAAAATGTCAATTTTTACCTGTTAATCAAAATCTTTCATCAGTACATTTTTCACTTGCCAAGTTTCAGCTTGTGAGCAGCAACCTTTCTCTTGCCATGATTTGGCAAATGACACAATCACAAACTGCCAAAACTGTGTTCAGCCACCTTAACCGCAGTACCCAAAGCATCAAAGAAAAGAGCTCAAAGTCCACCCTCTGTACCACCTTCTACTTTCAAGAAATCTAAGTACACCGGATCGTTTTTATATAAAACACACTTCTCCAACACGTGGACCCAGCAGTGGCCATGCATCGTTGCAATACCTGGAACGCCAACCAAGTTTCGTTGTACAGCATGCAACCGAGCCTTATCCTGTGCAAAACAAGGCATCAAGGATGTAAAGGACCACTTGGACACCAAGGCACATCAAAATAACGCTAAACAGCTACAAAAACAACCCACTCTGTTCCAGACCATTGCTTCTACCCAAAATGACATTCATAAGGTACCGGAGCTGTGCCTATATATGTACATTTAATATCTAAACTATTGCACGTATATTACAACCTTACAATATACGTGTTGCGCACAAACCGATAACCACTTTACGGCGACTGTTTACTAATGTCAAGGACAAAGACAAACCGGAGGACAGACAGGGAGCAGTATACAAGATCAAATGCTGCGACTGCCAGGCTTCTTACATTGGTGAAACCGGCAAAAACCTGAGCACGCGACTGACCGAACACAAACGCGCGACGAGGAATGATGACGTCAACAATCACATTGCTGAGCACCATTTAAAGACGAAACATCAAATTGACTGGGACTCTGCGACATGCATAACGTTTTCTACAGACTACTATCAACGTCTTACTTTAGAAAGCTGGTTTACTAACTTAGAACAAACGCCACTGAATCGTAGCCAACAGTTACCAGTGCCTTACAAACGACTTATTGACAAGATCAAGGAAAACTAACTACGAGAGAACAACTGGAGAACTGACAATTTGACTAACAATAGATGACTGTTTAACTGTGACAATAGACGGATCGAAACACACCAATCACTGATTGAGTCTTCATAGCCAATAACATCACGACATAATTGACCAATCAGATCAATAACAGAGTATAATACCATCAACTCACGTGACACAACTCACTTTGACTCTGAAGATGACTACCGCACAGGTTGTCGAAATGTCAGTCACTGTCAACAACAACAGTCCTATTCAGGACTATGTTCACCCGGATAATCAAACTCAACCTTTTGTAATATCTCATTCACGATTTATGCACGTTTGTTGTCCCGTTTTACCTTGCCCTTTCATTTTGAATTAGACTACACAGATCCGCGATGGGGCAATAAAACATAGTACCTAGTGTGTTAACCGACTAAATGCATGGTTTTTTCTTTCAAAGGTAACTTCGGCCGAAGTAAAGATGGCCATGGTTATAGCAACAACAACATCCCGTTTGCAGCAGCGGATACATTTAACTTGGTGTTCAAGGATATATTTCTCGACTCTAAAATCGCCAAAGCATATGCATCAGGAAGGATGAAGACGACATGCATTGTGAACGGGGCACTGAATCATTTTCGGTTTTCAAGACCTGTGGTTATTGTTGGCGGTAAGTCACATCATTAACGCGAAGGGTTCAGTGCATATATTTTATTAACTTTTTTCAACAGAAATTCCCTGGCAGAGGTCATGAAAAACGCCCATATTCACTGGCGACTAATGGTTCTAACGATAATGGTCTCAAAAAGATGAATCCCCTGACTCTGCAAATATACAATGTGAACCTAAAGCAGATGAAGACCAGCTTCTTGGACGTGTGCTTATCAAGTGGGAGCACGGCTCAGATGCTTTTCCAGGGAATCGATGAGTGTTTGGCCGGCCACAGAATCCCATGGGAAAACTGCGTTGCTTTTTCCGTGGACAACCCTAATGTTAACCGGGGGAAAAACAACTCCATCCGGACGCTTGTCAAGCTGCAGAACCCATCCGTATACTTCAATGGATGCCAGTGCCATGTTGTGCACAATACCTCCGCGGCTGCAGCCAAAGCATTCAATGCTGAGACCAGGTTTGACGTGGAAGACCTCCTAGTGAACATTTACTACTGGTTTGACTATTCTACGAAACGAAAATGCAAGCTGGTAGAATATACTGATTTCTGCGATCAAGAATACCGCAAGATCATCAAACACGTCAACATGAGATGGCTTAGCCTGGAGAAGGTGATCACTCGAACCCTGCTGCACTATCAGTCGCTGAAAACTCATTTTCTTTCAGAAGATGAGTCTGTTGCTCGATTCAAGAGGCTCCAGACTGCCTTCAGCAACCCCATGACAGAGGTGTATCTGCTATTTCTGCAGTCGGCCTTGCAGATTCTTGTTAATCTCAACCTCTTTCTACAAAGAGAGGAACCTCTTATTGGTGCTATGAACTCATCCCTGACGAGGTTTCTAAAGCACTTTGCCTGCCAGTTGATCTCTCCTGGGATCGTTCAGGCGTCGTCATCCTTCCAGCAGCTCCTTGATGTTGAGCAATATTTGCCAGGTATGTTGTGTCTTTTTTTCCTTTTCTTAATACCGTTTGATACACTGAGACCTGTGTGCAGATTAATACTTTTGTGATTCAGATTCCTTGCTTGAAGTTGGCTTTGTAACAAGGACTTCACTGAACAACCTTGTTAGTTCCGGTGACATTGGTGCTGAGGATGAGAAGCAGTTCTATGTGGGGGCAAGGTCTTTCTTCAGCAAAGCTTTCGAGTATGCTGTCAGCCATATTCAATATTCCATGATGAGCTTCTCGTCAATGCTGAGATAGTGCACTTTGAAGAAAGGGAAACGCTTAAGCCCTCCATGGTGCAGTACTTTTTACAGAGGTACAGTACTAGTAACAGTACTTAAATCAAAGAGTGATTGTTTGAAAAAAGTATATAAAACCCCTAATTCCAGGAGCTCGAAAAAGTGTTCCAGTTAAAAATTCACTAGGGCCAATGTGTTTAAATATACAAAAATTGTTTTCATCGGGAATTTTCTCCCCTTCATATTCAACTTGTAGGCTGTGTGCACTTTGCTCTGCACAAGTGGCACTGCCCCTACGGCTGTCTCAGTGAAACAGTTATCAAACGTTTCTCAATGACTGGTTTCTTTTATAGATTCCCAAACCTTCTGCCGTTCACATCAGTGAGAGATTTGGAAGAACTGACTCAGGAGGTCCACGACTTTGTTACAATGGACGAAGAGGACCTTCCGAACTCAGTCAGAGAGTTGGCCAAGGCCTCAGAAGCTAGCAGCTGCCTTAGACACGACATTGTTTGGGGCCATCTGCAAGAGATGACCACCCCGGATGGCCGTAAGCATTTCCCTCGGCTCTCCAAGATTGCTCTGCTTGTCCTCACCATACTGCACTCAAATGCTGGTGAAGAAAGGGTCTTTTCTATGATAAAAAAGAAATTAACGCCTTTAAGATCCTGCTTAGATCAAGAGGAAACCCTAGGCAGCATCATGACGATTAAGATGGAGTCCCTAAACAGCCCTGGAGGAAACGAACTTCCATCCAATGTACTGAAAGCAGCAAAGGACCCTGCAAGGCTGTATAACAAGGACCATTCCTAATAACCAACTGTTGATGCTGTAATGTTTTCTAATTAAATCTCGGTTCCCAGGGCTTTCCTAAGAGCAGATTTCATATTCTTCAAAAAATCAGAAGGATCATGAAAAGTACTTGATGTTCCTTATTCCGCTAGTCTTTAGTCCTTATATCGAAGCGGTGAACTGAAATCATTACATTAAGAAATCATTTAAGTATTGTTGTATTCATAGCTAAGAGTGATCACAACTGTGTAATGCGTACATGGTAATGAAACTTAAAAGCAGTAAAACTAGCGACAAGTCTCACTGTGGAATCGTAGACTAACATAACGTTGTACTAAAACAAAACAAGGTTCCTCTTCTTTCCGAGAATTTCTCTTTCTACTTGGTTTTCTAGATCTTCACTACGAGGGGTGTTAGAGAGAACTGAAAACGGAGCTATATGTTTAGCTAACTAAAATAATGGGTCGGAAAGTTAACATCAATCAAATTTGAAGCTAATTACTTTCACACCTTTGCCGGAAGTTGTTACAGATGCTTAGCTCAATAGACTTTTTTCGTTTGGGGGTAATGTTTTCTCTTTTCAAATCGTGTCATTTATCACATATACACAATGTTTCTTTGTTTCCATATATCTGCCGGTGCGTGGCAAAAAATTAAAAAAGAATGAAGAATTTCCACAAGTATCTCACGTGAACTATATGCCCAAGTGGAGAGGTATTTATTTATGATCGTGTTGTTATCAACGTTTTACGTTTTTTAATAGAGCTGTTAATAGTCATTAGAAAACCGATTCGTTCTACCACAAACCGGATCTCCTTAAACCCTTAATTCACTGGTGCAATTAAACTGCTATTTTTCACACTCAGAAAATCTGAAATTTTCACAGAGCCAAAGTTTTGCATTGAATATTTATTTTCACTATTATAGTTAATCACATGATTTTGAGTGTAATTTGGAACTAGTAAATTTTTCAAAGGCTAGCAAAACTGCACGAGCCCGGAGGGGCAACTGCAATTTGTAGTCAGTAATTTACTTTGTAATTGCATGAGAAGAATCTGTATGTGCAGCATAAAATATTTTTGCCTCAGAATAGTTTTTTCACCATTAAATTTGAACAATTTGATAATGAAACAAAGGGAAAATATTGATAATAATCTGCTGCTGTTCTATACCATGTATACTCTTCATACCATGTATACTCTTCAAGCTTTAAGTTTTAATTTTTTTTGTTTTGTTTTAACTAGGTGGATGATGTAGCTGACAAGGAAAATCGACTATAGGCAACTATTTGTGAGCATACTGCAGCCATTCAAAATAGGCAGCTGTCAGCAACAAGTGATGAACAGGGAAATGTCCGGAAATCTAAAAGGACCATGAGAAAAAGACAGACTGAAACCTTGGAACAGGCACTCAAAATTCATGGTGGGAAAGCGAACAACCACCTTCCAGCTGCTGTAGGACTAGTAGAGACACTGTGTACTAAATTCAGTCAGAAACAATTAGTCACAACTGTTTCACGAAAGAGAAAATTGTGTGAAACTGTTTTCCCTCAAATCTATAACAATAAGGGAAAAGACTTTGAAAAGTCACAAGAAAATGTGTTGCATAGCATTGCAACATATTTTTGTAAGGGAGTGATGGGTAAAGCTAAGTACAGGTCTGTGTATCAATCCGTCTCTATGAAAAAGGGAGTTAAGAAAGGATATAAACGTTACAGATTGAAAGTAATGGGTTGTAAAATTCCATCCCTGCTCCCATACAACAAACTGATGGAGCATGTAAAAACCATCGACCTTGGCAAAATAGGTAATGTAGGAGAAGTGTTTTGTGCAGATCTTAAAGAGGAAGAAAAAGTGAATGGCTGTTTCAGATACTTAACAGATTTCCTGCCATCACTTGCCTCTTTTTACTTAACTTTAGAGCAACAAACAGAGGAGAGGTTGTTGTGGTTTAACACACCTAACACATTTCAGGTTGTTCTTGGGGGAGATGGTGCCCCTTTTGGGAAAGATGATACAGCCACTGCTTGGAATGTTAGTTTTCTCAATAGGGGACAACATATCTTAAGCAGTAATGAGAACTTCCTCATTTTTGGAGCTAACTGCTCTGAAAGTTCTGTTCCCGTACAAAGGTATGTGAAGCACCTCTTACAAGAGATGACCACTATCGAAAACAAAAGCTACAGTATTAATGGGAGAGACATCAAATTTAAGTTTGCAGAGTTTCCTAATGATCTCAAAATGCTGGCATTCCTTGCTGGAGAACTATCTTTAAGTGCCAGATATTTCTCAACCTTTGGCAATGTGAGCACTACTGACTGCAGTCATGTAAAAGGGACTTTTGGAGCTGGTCCTGGCAATAAATGGAAGCCATGGGCCTATGACAAAAGGGTGGCTGTTGCAAGGGAGGTTGAAAAGGTAAAGAAGCAGGTCAGTAAACAGAAAGTTTCAGAGAAAACAAAGCGAAAAAAAGTAACTGACTTCATTGCCTCGAAAGGCAGTAGACAAGAATTTGAACCATTGGTTGGAAAGTTTATTGATAGAACACATGTCGAACCATTACATCCAAAAAACAATTCTTGTCAGCAATTATTTACCCTGATCCTATATGAAAGCATTGGAAAGTCAGCACTTGCATCAAGCATCTCAGACTTTGATGCTGTGCCTTGTACATCCCCATTTTATAAATTGGTCAACTGCCTTCAAAAAAAGGTCAAAATAGGTCGTCTTGCTAAGAAAGTTTCAACATCAATAAAATTAAACTGACTTGAATTTTAGTTAATTCGCTGTCTTTAGGAATTAACTATGACTAATTCACCTTCTATTACCTGAAACACTATTTATGACTTCTTCCTTGTAGAAGGGGGGTTTAAACGAGAAAATAGTGGTATAATTCTTTAGTAAAATTATCTAACAGTTCTTCTTCATTGCCTCTTATTTCATATCTAGTTGAAGTCAAAGGTAGGCTATTAGAAGGCAGTGCTCCTTCTAAACATCCGAAAATCAGAAACAGGACTCCCGTTAAAACTAGGACAAAACAAAATGCGGAACTGGAAAAACGTTTGAAAGAAGTAAACCACACCTGCGACTGTGAAGCCTTTGTGGAAAGGACACCCGAACAAGAAAAATTATTAAATGAAATGAAGAAACGTAAGTTTTGAAGCACTATAAATGTATTCATTTTTTATGTTGTTAAAAGTATCTCAATTTTTGTTTACAATGTTGGTTTTTGTTCACTGCGAGCGTCGAGGGGAAGCGCCTTGCCCCTCCCTTGCGCTGGGTCGTGGTGCCTGGACTTCAAATCAGAACTAAATAAGGCACTGCTTTCATGCCATGCACACAAGTGAAAAACTATTTCAATCACTGTTTGGATCTCATTACTAGCTTTTATTTAATGTTTTTTTTTTCATTGATTTACTTCAGGTGTGGAGAAGAAGTTTCCCCAAGCCTTGCTCATTAACGAAATGAATATGGTTTGTAATGACTGCAAATCAACGGTACTAATTAATCGGATTTACTACGAGGACTACTTTGAAAAAAGTAAGAATAATATTGCTGTATAATTGTATGTATGAATCAGCACGTATTGTTAACAGTAACAGTTATTGTTCAACTTTCGACTGCCACTACACCAGTATGTTAGAGCGGCAAATAACAGACGGAGTATAACACGCGTTAACATTTTGAGGAATCATTGCATTCCAATGTCATAAAATGCAATTGAAATACGTTTCCCTTCAAGCTTTCCATCTACTAGCTTCTACTACAAAGTGCGTTGTAGACATTTATAAAGCCTACCGTAATCTTACTTCTTTGGAAAATGTAATCATTAATGTCTCTCGTTTCATGGAATCGTTAACAAAATACAGAATTTTACATCCACGCATCTCTCTTTTTCCTCTAGAGCATGTCGCCAATGGTCGTTGCAGTCGACTACAGAAAAAGAAAAAGGGAACACCATCGACATCTGGCCAAACATCTTTGACGTCCTGGCTAACACAGTCTAAGTAATTCGTGACGAACTTTGTTTGATTCATTTCTAGAATAGATAACATTTAGACAAGCCAGGAACAAAGAACTGAAAATTTTGTTTTTTATTTGAGAGTTCCGAATCGTAGCACTGTGTAACTTCATGACACTAGATTTATTGTTTGTCTCTGATTAAAGGTTGTATGAGAAGTAACTTACCCTGATTTCGACGTAATTCGATGTAAGAAACTGTGAACTTTTTGCTCACGCAAAAACCCTGAATATTCTTTGTTATTAAAGGTAATTTGGAACCGTAGCATTGACTCATTGAATGACATACATCTGACCCAGGGACGAAAAGAAAAGCTTGCAAATTGGCGTTTTCAATAATATAATTTCAATGAAAAAATTCAGTAACACACAGGAGGCATCCAATACTTACATATACGTTTTTTTTATAAAATTAGTTCTGAAGCGTCAGACAACGAGGAAACCAGTCATGCCAGTAGTACACCTTCTGTGGAGGAGACAGAGTCTGATGCCAGCAGCGGCATCGAAGCTGAACTAGACCCAGCAGCTAGGCTTCTAGATCAAGAAGTCCGTTCAGGTCGCCTATCACAAAATCACCTGTTTTATCGGCTTGTATTGAATGCCCTTAAGTTTGCTACTGAAATAGATAATCCCATCAACCAATTTAAACACGACCCCGTCATCCGTAGCTTTTGTGAAACTATTAAACGAAGCGGGCACTGGCGCACATTCAACCTCTTAACTGGGAAACGAATGCTGGGTAAGGGTCGTGGATCTAGTCATCAATTTAACTGGGAGGATTACAACATTCCTTTGCCATTGCCATCGAAGATCAAGCAAGGGTACATCTATGAAAGTGGCTTAGTTCGGGCTTATGTCATCTCTTTTCTTGAAATGGTGTTTAGCTCAGGAAGTACAATTATGCCTTTGTTATCAAACAACAAGATTCAAGTTGTCCCAGTTTCTTTAGCCAAGGATGACTTCACACTGAACCAGGTTTTCAAGTTGATCAAAACACGATGACGATATTGGGAGGAAAAGACGTTTATACATTAGATTACGTCAAGGAAAATCCCACTTTGCCGCACGAGTCCTTTAAAGACAAGTTTGTCACAGAAGCTCAGATCATGGGGATAACTTCTCTTGACAACAAGTCCGCGCTTATCATTGGTAACGACTTCACGGGTAGTACTGGTGATGGTGATTCTACCATGAACTGTGTCATGCAAAACGAATTCAAGAGCTTCAGCAGTGTCTAAGCTGTCTTCGCGAATTCCACGACGCAATTGTGAAAGAAGAGTGCCATACAACTGTGTGCGAAGAGTGTTTCTCTGCGGAAAATGTTTGCGACACATGCAGAGAATTAGCGCATACTCACTGGGCTCCGGCATTAAGGTGTTGCGACCATTGTGTAAGGAAAGATCTACAGTGTTCCAGGATAGCCTGTTTGAACTTGGCAACCGACTGTCAATCGATGTTCAAAGCTGCGCTTGAACGCCTTGATGACGAACAAAAAAACGGAACAATTGACAAACGACTTGCTCTTTCTGCTCCCAATCCGGATATTGTTCACGCTAGAAAAAACATTCACCGTTCACATTCCAACTGGTTTCTATTTGTTAACAATGCCCGTTTCAGCACCGCAGTGTTGCGAACTGCAAGAGTTGATTCATCTCAATCCAAGGAATTGTCGGCTGTCATCACAGACATGGCGTTGAGAGGCAGAGACCGGATGGAAACCACCTATGTGGCAGAGTGTAACTCCAAAACAGTAGTAGATATAATTCAGCGCATGAAGTACCTAGTTCATACTTTAGCGCCAGAAATGTTCTGGAAAGAATACGGCGCCAACAAAAAAGGTTGTTTGGAACACACCATTTCTGTTTGCCTTGGCAGTTTCGGTTCACTTTACTTGGTCGACTTTACTGCTGGTAGCGTAGTGAAGGCCAGACTTCACAATCCAGTTGATATTCAAGTTCTGTCTCGCAGCATGGAAAGTCCTACGAGTGTCCTCTATAAGAAGGGTGTGGTTTTCGTTGTGGAAGAAAACGCCATTTTGTACTTGGACGTTGGCAATGTGGTAAGGTTAAATCCGAAAGTCCTCCGGAAGCCACAGCTGGAATCCGAATTTCAGAAAAGAGGACTCCTTGGTCATGGGGAAAGAAAACCGGTTGCTGAAATGAGATCAACACTTATCCGTTGGCTGAAGGCAAATGTACCACAAACGACACGAGATGATGGTTTTCAATCTTTACTCGATGGGATCAGACCATTGGCCTTAACGTCTAATGAAGAGAGAAGTGTAATTTTCGTTTCACAGCGCAACTCCTCGACAATTTTGAAAGTTACAGTCACTTGCACCGGTGCATGCCTTTGTGGAAATGCTGAACCCTTCGTCACTCTTCCTGGAATGGCTTGTTGCACGGGTCTAGGCTATAGTGAAGAGACAAGAGATCTATATGTGGCTGACTCACAGGATGAAGGTGGAATTTACATGGTAGATACAACTATGGAAGCGGGCAGACCATCGTACGTCAAGATACTACACAATAATCCGGTGGATTGTGGAAGAGTTTACGATCTGGTAGTTAATTCATCAGGAGAACTGTTTTTCACAGATGTGGATAGGCGGCAGATTGGGAAGCTAGTCAACGGGAACACCGTGGAGCATGTTGCGGGATCTGGACGTGACGAACCGCGTGATGGCTGCCAGCAGACTGTCTCTTTTGTTCAACCCACTGGGCTGTGTTCGGAGGGAGATTCACTGTATGTAACCGACACAGGAGCTGGCGCCTTGAAACTGATAACGCCAACCAAACCAATGGTTATATTCATGGAAAGTGTCAGCGCCCTTTACTGGTCTCACGGAATCCATTCTCCTTCGCAATCAATTGACAGCTGCACCACCTCCCTAGAAGGATCGACAACGTATTTCGAGAAGGCAGTCGATGAAGCAATTAAAAATTGTGAGGGGAGGAAGACGGTAGAGGGCCCACATGGTGTTCCGGCCTCTAAGACGATAGGGAGTGTACGCATGACACTGGAGGCGTTGAAGAAGATCAAGAACACCATAAGTGTCATAAATCCAGCATATGTAGCACACATTCAACCAAAGGCTCTTGTAACGCTTATTGTGGAACACTTCAACTCTAAGATGAGAGAAGTTTACGAAGTTGCCACCGTTATGCAGTTCGCATACCAGTTCCCCGATGCCGTGGAGGAAACAGTGAAAAGGACCACTAACTGTGGTTTCAGTTATTTTACAAATAGGGACAGTTATTACGAGGTTCCAGAGGACATGGTGTCGTTTGAGTCAATGGCAAAGGTACCAAGACCAACAAAGATACCTGGAAATCGAGAAGACGTGCTGAATTTGCGAAAATGGGCAAAGGAATATGGGAAGGCCACAAGACAGTTACGCGTCAGAGCAAAATCAACCAAAGACAACCCAGGAACACTTCCTATATCGGCCTATGGTCGCCGTACGCTCGACAGAAATCCATTAACGACTCTTGAAGAGATGCGTCAGGAAATCCTAGGATCTATGCCAATAACTGAAGCAACTGATGAAGAGGAAAATGAGGTTGACATCAACAACACTTCTGTCAACTTTGATGGATCTGATGTCGGTGACAAAGAAGCTAACATGGTCCTGGTTAAAAATTCTGTCATTCTAATTTCTCAAGATGACCGAGTGTCAGGTTCATTTTTACTTGGAAGTCTGGCACAAGACTGGCGCAGAAATACTATGGAGACGGTGAGAACACATGTCTATGCTCCTGATGAAGAAGATTTTTTGCTTTTTCATCACGAGTTTACTGGGCTTGTGAGAAAGGCAAACGTTGTTCAAGAGGTCAGCACCGAAAACGATAAGTTGATGTATTTGGATGATGATTTCCACATGGAAATAAGCGATGATTTATATCATCAGTGTCTGGATCTGGTGTACGACAAAGATGAAGCAGGCACAGAGGCTACTGCCACTGATACAGCAAGAGAAACATCTACAGGCCGAGTACTTCGACTCCCTCACCGTTTCCGGGAGTGATACTACTCTCTACACTCCAGAAATGCTTACCGTAAACACCGGTGCATAAGCAGCACTCGTAGATAAGCCGCACCCCGAGTTTGAAGCTCAAATTTTCGGAAAAAAAGTTTTTTGAAATAAAAACGTAAGTCAGAGAATTGGCTGTTAGAAACTCAATGCTCACGTTCGTGCGTTACGTGTTCGATGCGGATCTTATTGCTCAATTTGATTTTTGGTCTCGGAGGCGCTCTGGCAGCTTTGTAAGACAAACAAGACTAACTTTTCTACATCATCTTAAGTTAAAGAAGTTTTGTTCCACGTTATACACCTCAAATGAATAAAGGCTCAAAAAGTCTGGTCTCATCACCGGAAAGTACGATCTATAAACTATGATTTGCAGAACTCAGCAGATGTTCCCGTAGATAAGCCACACCCCCGATTTTGAGCAAAAATTTTCGGCAAAAAAGTGCGGCTTATACACCGGTGTCTACGGTACTATCGCAATAATACAAGGATACACTTTCATTGGTGGGTTGAGCGCTTCCAGCATCACTAGGTTAGTAAGACTTATAGCTAATATTCAATTACATTATTGATATAAGTAAGCGGGAAAATAAGCAACATTTCCAAAATAATTTCAGTGTACGTCTTTAAATCATTCGGGCCAAGAACAGTTCAATTCTCAAACGTACCCATGTACTATCATGACATGATTTCCTCTATTAAGTAAGTGGAAATTACTGTTTCCTATATCTTACATAACAATTGTAAATGCAGATTCCGGCAGGGGTTAATTTCTTAATTTCTCGTTTCGGATAAGCTTGCGGATAAAAAATTGAACGTCCCATTGGCGAGATTTTGAGATCCAAATTTTCAAAATCCGAGACTCCTAGATCCAAATTTTCAAAATCCGAGACTCCGAGATTCCAAGACGCTTTTTTTTAAGCGCCGAGATTACGAGACTCGGCTTAAATTTGCCGAGACTTAACATTTTTGAAAGGCCATTCGTCACCCCTCTTATTCAAAACGAGGGAATACACTTGATCAAGCATCGTCAGATCCAGACTTTTAAATTGAAGAAGTTGGAGCTGATTTTTTTCTTAATAAAAGCGATTTCTACTATGCTCAAGTACAAGGGCAGTTGGCCCTCACTGGGTTTCCATGGAGTGATTTTTGTGTATATTAGTCAGACTCTAATGAATTCATTTTGATTTTGATTGCTGAGAAATGAGCTACTGCCCAAATTGAACAACTTCTATCTCAATTATGCACTTTCATTTATTGTTGGGCAAGCAAAAAGAGCCCAAAGCTATTCAAGAACCAATGAAGAATTAGTACTTGTAGGAGCCATACATAATCCTCAAGGAAACCAAATTGTTTAATTTTTACGTTTAAGCAGTACAGATACATCTATTTCACAGTTACATTAAACTGGAGAAAGATTTATTAATAGACAAATTTCGATACATTAAATTCATACTTGACTGCGAGGCTTGGGGGAATAAAACAAAAGAAATCATCTTAAGGCTGAGCGATGAACAATACATTTCTTTTGTTTTACTCCCCCAAGACTCACAGCCAAGTATGAATTTCAATATATCAAAATTAGTCTATTTTTTTATCTTATAACATGTTCAAATCTACTAGCTGAGTTAACATTTGAAAGAATTGTGTATCTTTTGGTAAATTAAAGAAGATAAAAATAACAAAAAAACCAAAAAGTTTTCTTGGAATACATTGTTTACTTGGACAAAATAGTTTTGTTCTTATTGATATTATCAGGTCATGCAAGAGCAGCATTTTGGAAATTTGACAATAGGCAAGCCACTGTCTATATTTGGTTGATTACGTCGACTTCCGATAACTTTAACCCTCACCAACTCAAAGCTCGCACTAACTCGAACCAACCTCAATTTCCCCTTTATTTCCTTCATACGTTAACTGTAATTTTACCCTCGGTAACTCGAACCCTCGATAACTAGAACCTCCCGCTAACTCAAACTATTTTTTGTTTCCCCTCGGATCGTTTCTATAGAATTTCACCCCCGATAAAACCATGTTTGAGCACTTAAAAAGTTTGGAAAAAACAGTGCAATAGTATCCGAAACATTGAATTTTGTCCTGATGTGTTGTAGGCATGTAGGTAACTAGTGAAAGCTGTAGTTGTTTGTCACAAATCTAACATGAACAGCTTTACTTCTCAAAACAGTAAAACACATGCTCTACTTGGGCAATGCTTTGATACATTACGTTCTGATTTATAATCTAGAAGTATCTTTCAATTTGCAGTTCAAAGTTCTACAAGTAACTGTAACGTAAACAACGTTTTTTTTCTTACTTCTGGCTATTTTCTTTGAGCTCCCAAACTTCCAATGACTCAAACTCCCTATAACGCAGACTGTTTTCGATTTCCCTTGAAGGTTCGAGTTATTGCGAGTCAACTATACATCCAAACTTAGAAACTAGAATGACTCAATAAAATATTCAAAATCTTCTCACCTTGCAAAGAGCTCTCTTCACACGTATGCAGCAGCTTGCAATTGGTTGGGTTTTAACAACATCATCTTGAAAACTTTCAAACAGGGAGGGATATTCAATTATAAACCAAGTTTCTTTAAATCATTTTGAATCTCAAAACCTTTGTCAGCCATGACTGTATCTCCTTTTTTTTTCACCAACCATTACATTTTTATGTAGGATATCTAGGAAACCACTTCTCTGAACTACTTGCTTATCACTGATAGGACCCTCGTAGAGTGGAGACATGAACATTTTCCCACCTTTGGGATCAGCACCAAGAAGACATTTTAATGTTGTGTGAGATTTATATGCACTGTAACTTTCACAGTGCTTCTGAAGTGCACTTGGAACTTTTACCTTCAGTTCACTTGCATCAATAATCACAGTGTTATTTGGATACTTCTCAAACAATTCTGCAGGTGCGCTTTGTAAAATATTTGTGTGGCCATGTTTTGATGCTTCCAAGTGTGACATACAGGTCGTTTATCCAGGTAAGGCATGTATTATTAACCATACTCTCAGCAATATCAAATCTTTCTCCCAGATCAATGACGCTTAAACCCATTTCAAGTTTCATTAGTACAAGAAGGTACTCATCCGCAATTGGCAGTTTGTGTGCTGTAGGACATGTTCAACTAATTTTCTTTCGTTCTTGATTGTTAAAATCGTCAGGGTCATCACAATCACCATCAAACATTGCTTCTGTAGCAATGGCAGTATTTTTTCTAGCTTCACTATCCCAGTAAATTAACAGTTTTCTATCTAGGTTTGGCAATAAAAACTGCAATTTGTTCACGAACTCACAATGAGAATTAAATCCAGTAAAGTGACTAAACAGGTTTTCCTCTTTCTCAGGTGTCATACACTTCAAACGCAAATGAAAGTAGTAATAACAGGATGCTTTCTGACTCAACTCAAACCCTATTATTTTTCCTGATTAATTCCCCGTTTTTCGATAAACTCGTTCCGATTATTTCCGTCATATTTTTAACTTCGCTCCATTTGCTCACCTTCGTTCGCTTGCCTTTGTTCGCTCTGCTCACTCAGTTCCGCTCGCTGTTGCTCCGTTCAAAAAATTCCATCAAGAATCTCACTCGTTTTATCTCAAAAGTGGAATTCATTAGGGAAAATAATAGAGTTTGAGTTTATTCACAAATCATGCTGTTATTACTACTCTAATAGCAAGGTTAAGATCGGGTTCCAATACTGATACCAGTATCAATATCTTCCACAGCCGTAGTCTTTTCCGTCATGCATGAATGAAGTTGTAAGTTGTTGAGGACGGATACCGGTAAAACATGGCGTTCGCCGACATCTCGTAAGAAGAAGCTCTAGTCCTTGAAGCTTATGAAGAAAACATTTTAGATGAAGAAGAAACTCTGCTAGCGATTGAATTGCTGGATAAAACAAAAGAAGCATAATCGTGTACAAGAAAAGATTTTTAACACCTCGTGTTTTTCTATTCGCTGAATTTTTGATGAGTCATGTGAATGTGTAATTGGGGGATTTTCCCACAAATGTATTTGCCCTACTGAGACTGTGTATTACCAGAGGGAAAACCCCATTGGAGGAGGACATAAATTACATTCATTGGGAATTATTGTGTGACTTTCTCGGAAAAATAGGAAGTTGATGATCTCATTATTTGGGACTTTCCCACTGTCACAAGACAGTCGTATGATTTTTATCAACTAATCATAACTTTCATTTTTTTGTCAAATTTGACTCTTGAATGAATTATATTTTCATTTTCGTTTGAGTTTTAGAAACGATTTAGAGAATAGATACTTAATCAACTATAATGGTTTATTCACAAGCACAATTGGAAGAAAAGATTATTCATACTACTGAGGTGATATCAGAGTCTAATTAGACATGTCTGGAAATTTATCAAACACCAAAGGTTAAATTGAAAATGAATCTTGAAGATTTTAAAAAACAACTACCCTCTGTTGACCTGAATGTTGTTGAAGAAGAATTCGAAAAGAGTTTGTCATTGCTAAATGAGATGCGGAAGATGATTTCTGAAGAGGGGAGGAGGCGCCGTTATGTACAACAGCTAAAAAATAAAAGTAGGCTTGCTGATGTAAAAACAATGGTGAAATCTACACGCAAACAAAGAAGGCCTGAAGATGCTGACAGTGTTGTGGTCACCAATGGAATAACTGAATCAATAAATCAGTAAGGAAATGAACAAAAAACGTTGAGTAGAGCGGGATTTTACAATAATGATGATAAAGAACATTCGACTCATGTAATATTGGTCGGTTTATTTACTTTGGGAAGAAAAATAATATAAACAATAATAAAAAATGGCAACTACATTCGTAGAACTAAGTTCTAATTCAAAGGAAGAGAAAATAAGACCCATTTCAAAGGAAGACGAAGAGAAATTACGAGAACACAATATTCTTTTACATGTAGAATACTTAAAGTCGACAATAGATGGATTAGAGGGAATACTTAAGTTTTTTCCTTCTTATGATTTACTTAAGAAGGAAAGTTTAGTATTATTCATTGAGACTTCACTTGGTAAATCAGAAAGTATGAAGGTATTTACTGAGATTGTTATTAGAGCATTTGAAGAAAGAAGAGAATTAAGTGATTTTGAAATAAATTTTATGAAGTGTTAGATTATAAAGATTTAGACTTTTGTGGAATGGTAAATAAAATTGAATTTCAGCTTAAAAATTTACTAAGTATTATAAAATGCAGTTAACCAGTTATGAAAGTTTAACCTTCGACAACATTATCTTTAAAGAGGCAAAGTATTACAAAGTAATAGATTCGAAAATTAAATACAAACGCATTCCAATTGAAGTCAAATATCAAAATGAAAAGAAAGATAGATTGATAATCGAAACTCCACTTCTTTTCAGCTTTGGAGTAAATGAGAAAAAGAACCAAGAAACGAAAATGTTAGTCGGTTATAGCATTCCAATATGTCTTTGGGCTAAACATAGTGAGCCAAATCCTGAAGAAAAAACATTTTTTGAAGCTATAAACAATATAACAACTATTTGCCAGCAACATCTAGAGAATGAATATGGCGCAGATTTAGCATCATCTCTGTCTTCGCCATTTTATTACAAACAGGTTGAGTATACAGACAAGAAAGGAAAAAATAAAACTAAGAGAGATGAGTCAGCCGCCCCAGTACTTTACACAAAACTTATTTACTCAGAAAAATCACAGAAAATTCTTTCTTTGTTTAAAACATAAGGCAAAGATAGTGTTAATCCTTTTCAATATCTTGATCAGTACTGTCATGTGCATATGGCTTTAATTATAGAAGGGATCTTTATCAGTAAAACTGTTGTATCTCTCCAAATCAAAGTGCACAAGTGTTATGTTAAACAACTGAAACCTCGGCAGTCTTTACGAAAAATTAATGAAAGTGATAACGAGAGCAATGATGAAAGTGATACTGAGACCGTTGAGCAAAGTGAGGTTGACAATATTGAAGATCTAATTATTTCTGATAAAGTGGATGAGTAAAACTATTAGGACTTATGTTTTTAATACAAATGTTGTATTAAAAATCAACCAAATCCTTAAACTCACCCATGAGTTAAATTTATCAGGATAACCACTCCATTTTACTAATGCCATTTTCTTCTTATTATCCTGTCTGATAACCTTTTCTATTCTAAACGTCTGCTGTTTTGCTTTCAATAATAATAATAATAATGACGCAAATATTTATACAGGATAACCTAACAGTTCTAATAAAAAGAACTGTTATCAAAAGGGTCCTGTAATTATCTCATAAATAGCTAAAAAATAAAACAGAAAATCGAAAAAGGAAAATAAAATAAAATAACACTAAGAAATCTAAGATTTAAAAATCAAAATCTGTAAAAATCATCGACTTACCAGACTGAAAAGAGTTATGAATTATGGAATACTATTGCAAAAATTGTTTTAAATTACTCTTAAAAAGAAACCTAGAATTTAAAGTTCTTAAGAGTGAGTCCATGGATGCACCAGGCAGGCGTGCTACATGCCATCTCTCCGATTTCGCTGAAACTTGGCCAGTTTAAAGGGTCTACCCCAAAACTCAAAATGACAAACTGGTGTGTAGTTTGGATCTGTATGGTGGGAGATGGCCCGCACAACTGGTTTAATTAGATTTTTTACCAATAAAAGGGCATTAATACCAGGTAAAAGTAGGAAGCTCTCAGGACAACTGTTTTTAACCTTTGACTATGAGGGTTTGTGTACATGTTGATACATCTTTAATAAATGTAAGAATATAAGTTTCAGTCAAGTTGATTGACAGCTTGTCAATCACCGGCCTTGAATATGGCACCACCTTTTTAGCCATTCAATTATTTGCTGATTTTGAGATCGAATATCTCTCCTTGCCAGAAAGCAATGACAATTTTCTTATTCCCTGCTTAAACATGGTCTATAACAAACACAAAAAAATTTCTGGGCACTGCCTCTTTTTGGCGTCAGATGCCAATTGAAAACTACACCTAAAACAGACTTATTTCCACTTCACCTTTCCTACAGTTCAACAGTTAATGGCTGTTTAATTTTATAAACCGACACTTTCTAGCCCGTTGTACAAGAATTGTAATGGAGGAGTTTAATACATGCTTACAACGATCGAGATTTGGCGAGAAAATTAAAGATTTGACACTGATTACTACTGCATGTCACCAAAATATCGAAGGCAAAATTGTAATCTTTGTGAGCTCTTTCAGAGGTTTTATCGCAAAATCAGAGATTATTCTTCTTAGGAGTTAAACTGATAATAAGTCGTGTTATTCAAGTGTTTATTGTCTATTGTCTTTACTTGAGAAAACCAGGCTGTTCTTAATTTCCTAGGGGAGATTTCAAGGCCAAATGGCGCGCGGTTGTTGACAAACTTCGAGTCACGCCAGTCATAAAGGAATGTCAACTTGCACATCTAAAAACAACATAATGATGAGAAATTCTTCCTTCTAGCGATAAAGAAATTAAGCTGTTAAAAAATTTAACTTCTGGTTACGAACTCGGAAAAAGAAGAGTATTAGAAGGAACAATGGTGTTATTTTCGCTCACCGCCATTGGGTCGCCGTCGATCTACGCCGAACTAATGTGTGCGGCGTGACCAGACAATATTTGTTTCAAATCCTCTTCTTTGCCTCCAAGGAAGGCTTTCAGAATGGCCTTCTTATCTCCATGACTTGTTTGTTTCCTCCTATCTGCATTTTTTTTAAATACAAGTTTTTTAGAGTTCTATCACTCTTGATCAACATTTATACGCCCAAGTATTACGTGACGAAAAAAGAGCCTGCAATGTTTTGTTCAGCAAATTTCCCGCGCCTACCTCGGAAATTTCATAGTAATTCTAAACAATTTTCGGTTGTCCAGACAGGAAGAGACAATAAATAAAGATAAACAAAACAAAACGCAACAAAAAATAGATATTTACGTTTTTGCTTTTGTCTCCCTGAGGCCAAAACTGAAAGAAAAATGTCGTGACCTTTTTTTTACTAAATATTCCGTGTTCACTTCATGTTCCTGATGCTGTGTTTATTCGAGGGCGGCATTTATTTTGAAACTGTACTTATCAAGGTTGAGAACAAGGCTTAATCATTTGAAAAATTTTATGTAGAACATGCAGGTATTTTTTTCTTGCTGTGATGTAACACACAGTCATTTTTCCTGGCTTGTAAAAGAAACGGAAAAAAATCCGATTATTCAGTCAAGATCTGTAAGTCCAACAGATCCAAATTACCCATCGCATGCTTTACACATCTGGGCTGAGAATGCTCTGGTTGATGAACACAACAATAAACATCTTCAACAACTCAGTGGCCCTGCGTACACTTTGGAGGCTGTAGTTCAATACCCTATTAATCTAGCAGAACAAGACATTGATAAAGTGTTATCCAAGGGGAGATCAGACAATGGTGGACTTGATGCTGAAATTCAAGTAAAAAAAAACGCTAGAGTGATGTTAAGTGTAAACGTAGATATAACTGATAGACTCATCAATGGGCAGATGGGGACAATAGCAAGGATAGTCATTAACCAAAATACAAGTACACAATCTGAAATTTTCATTAAATTTGATGACTGTCAAGTTGGTGTTTACGCAGTATTAAAATGTACCGATAGATATGCAAGAGAGGAAAATGCAGTACCTATTCAACCTGTTTTAGCAAGAATTAAAGTCACCTGGAAAACCATCTTCACCAGAAATACAAAGATTACAATTTCCTATTACATTAGCATGGGCCTGTACAGTGCACAAGGTACGGGGATTAACATTACATGAAGTTGTTGTTACCGCTCAATTGCGAAACCAAAAGAGTTTTAACCCCAGACAAATTTATGTCGCATTGAGCCGTGTAACCTCTTTTCAAGGTCTGTATATTTTGGGTGATATAGAGGACAAACATATAAAAGCCAATCCAAAAGTACACTTTGAATATCAGCGATTAAGACAACTAGAGACAGAAAATAGTACAACACTTGGATACAGTCCGTCCTCACTTCCCACAAACGCTCATCATAAATTAAGTATTTGCCTATTAAATGTATGATCACTTAAAAAGCATAGCATCGACATCAAATGTGATGTTAACCTTATGAAAAGCGACGTCTTAGCTCTTACTGAAACACCACTTTTTCCACATGATTCAGAAGTTGACATACAAGAAAACCTAATACCTTTTGGACTATACGGACAAGATCACAGAACTGACAAATGTTTGACCTTAGCTGTTTGTACAAAACCAAATTTTCTCATGTCAGACAAGCGACACGTTTTGAGTATAAATGCCCTGAAATTTGTCATATTTAACTCTCTAACAAACCAACGTATCTCATTTCTTTTATTGCATAGAAAAAACACCACAAATATTCATGAATATATCAATAATTTGAATGAACTTCTTAGTGTTTTCTCAATTGACATTATAATGGGTGATTTTAATATCAACTATTCTAATGATACTATACATTACTCAACTTAAAGAACTTATGAACTTCTGTGCTTACAAACAAGTTGTACAAAGTGCCACTTTCCTACCGTCAGGAAGCTTACTTGACCATATTTACCTCAAGCAAACAGATTACTATAAGCTAAAAGTGTAGAAGACCAGAATTGTTAGTGTCTATTACCTGGATCACGAAGCTATAGAGATGCTTGTAAACTCTGAAACAAGTTTATAGAAATTTGATGCACAAGCTTTATTTTGATTTTCATTAGTTGAACATTCCCTAAAACGTTCATGACAAAGCTTAACAAACTTGAGCTGCTGCCAGATAACTAGTATTTCAATATCCCACTCTGAAAACCAAAATTCAGCTTTCCGATCAGTTGCCCCAAGCCAACTGAAAAAAGCTTTGTAGGTAGCCTGTGAGCAAGCTCTCCAGGAGGTACAAGGGTGGGGTAACCTATAACGTACGTTATAGGTTATGAGCATAACAAGCGAACTTGGAGTAATATGTTACATTACGTGACGTTGACACTCCAAACAGATCCTGAATAATCAAAGGAAGGCTTACTTTACTCTCCTTGAAAGAATCCTTTCTTGAAGCAAATCCTGAGCAGTAGAACTGCAATAAACTAGTAAACTACGCCTACACCGAAGGCGGTCAGAACAGTGGTGAGCGACATAACCTTCGTTGGTCTTTGTCTCCAGCGTTCATATACAGAGCTTGCAGACGGCGATGAACAACTCATTTCAATATTGGATTTACTTAATACCCGTAACAAATGAGGCACATAGAAAACATAAGCCGAAGCACCTTCAGATAGTGGATGCGACAGCTATCAGAAACAACAGACCCATTATACTCCCCTGGATTGAAGAACACATCCCAAAGATGAAGCAAGGCCAATCCTAGAAGTTAACCAATATTCAGTTGAAGATATCCTCTTGTCGTAAAAACATTTCAACTACAAGGCCAACTACTTTAACAGAAAGTAGCAACTGAAGGTTTATTTTGGCAATGACATTGAAAAGAACAAGCAAAAGATGCCCCGACGTCACTTTATGGCTGTAATTAACAAAATGACGAATCAAGTATCTGTATTAAAAAAGTAAGCCAAGCACTCAACAACATCTAGAGTCGCACCTTGTACAAAAGGTGCTATGATCAAAGCTAATAAGTGTGCACACATGCTTTGTCAGTTCATATTGAAATCATTGATGATAAAGGAAAATGACTTGCACCGAAAGTTACCAGTAAAATTCCCAAGAAATGGCTACAAAAAGGATTGCCTTTAAAGAACAATGCTACTGGCTATTTGACAATTGTTGTACCGATCATTTTACAGATACTTCAGTATTGTTTATATTGCCTTTTGTTTAAGAAGAAGGACATTTCTAAAGACCCTTTAAAAGTTCTATAATACTGATGTAACGTATAATAAACATAGTTTATGTAGTTAACGGGTTGGCTGATCATTCACTTACAAATCTCGATTTGAGCTCACGTTAGGCAAGGTTTAACCCAGTTTCACAGACGCTCAATAGCATTATGGCCTATCTCTCTGTCGTAGCCTTGGCCGTTGGATTCCAGCACGCTGATGAGCCCTTCTTTTTCAAGGCCCTTGCTTTGGGTGATGTGGCCACCAAGTCGTATTGCATCTGCCAGTTTGATTCGACTCCATTACTCACCAGCTCCGTGACCGCTTATCCAAACTTACCAGTCACAGCTCCATGGCTAGGCCCTCCACTCCATCGGTCTGCCGCAGTGTGCAGTGGATGCCTGCCTCCTTTCTTTCCTCCAGGAATTCATCTTGGACGTCTTTGCGGGGAACTAGCCTGTTCCCAAGACAATCGCCATTTGGGTGAAGGGAAGACACCAAATGGCCCTATTCAGTCGACTAGTGGAGTCTCTGCCTTGTGTCGGTATAGCCCTTCTTGTCCGGGACTTAGAGGACATTTCCTGCCCACCAGCAAAACAGTTACTCCAACTCCATCACAGTAAGGGAACCACCAGAGACAAAATGCACGCATATCTCGACTGGTTGTCCGAACAAAACCTCGGATAGACATTGGTTTCCAGAACTTTTACATTTTTCATTTTCACTTCGCCGAGGACAGCTCAAACTTAAGGTTGGAGGAATGTTAGGAAGTAAATTCAAGTAAAAGGTAATCGTTGATTTCAATAGGGTTTTACTATAGTGGCGTTTGAATTTAATGATTTTTAAAGTTGTAGCTTTCAACGTTTT